ATTTACTGTTGTCCAGTTGATACTGTTCTAGTTAATTTACTGTTGTCCAGTTGATACTGTTCTAGTTAATTTACTGTTGTCCAGTTGATACTGTTCTAGTTAAGTTACTGTTGTCCAGTTGTTATTGTTCTAGTTAGTTTACTGTTGTCCAGTTGTTATTGTTCTAGTTAGTTTACTGTTGTCCAGTTGTTATTTGTTCTCCTTAGTTTACTATTCTCCAAGTGTTATTGTTTTCGCTAGTTTACTGTTGTTTAATTGTTATTGTTTTTGTCAGTTTAGTGTTGTCCAATTGTTTTATTAGTTTACTGTTGTCCAGTTATTCTTGTTAGTTTATTGTTTCTCCTTGTTTATTATTCTTTGAATGTTCTTGTTCATGTGCTGTTCTCTAAGTACGGTTGTGATTTTGTATACTTACTGCTGTGTTGTCGTTCACGTTTTCCATTTAAAATGTACTTTGAACAGCCCAAGAGAAAACAGAAGAACAAGAAACACAAGGGAACAGTGATGTCTGCATCAACACTGGAGTTGAACAACTTGGGACAAATTAGTGACATATGCAGGACAGTTGAAAAACAACCTTGTTTTCCAGAGTGTACAACTGCTGCCGGAGTTCTTTTTTCGCATGCTGCATTAACGGAAGTTTGGAAACCTTTAAGTCAGACACTAGTACAAAACGTTAAATCTTCAGATAGAAAGGAAGGAAGTTCTTCAAATAAACCTTTACGTAATATCACTAATGGAGTTACAACCAATGGATCTGTTTGCAATGGTTTAACAAAGAATGTCAAAAAGAAGGGTGCTTCTCTCGAGAAAGAGAAATTTAGTTTTAGAAACCTGCTACGATTACAGAAAAAAGATTCAGTCTAGTCTTAGTGAGTACAATTATACTTCTAATATTTAATAATAATTTCAATTTTGTTTATGGCTATAATAGATAAGTAGTTTCCCTTGTTTACGAAGACAAAATGAAAAGTAAAGAACGATTTAGATCTGAAGTACACTCTATCCAGCAAATGTAACTACTGGCTCTACAAGTATTAGTGTTTGATAACCAAACGAGTTAGGTCTGAACTATACATGGGAAGGTACACACTTTATCCAGTGTATGTAACAACTGGCTCTACAAGTATTAGTGTTTCATAACCCATTTTCCAAGGGATTTACTGTAATTGGAAAAAGCTAACCATAATTACTATTCAGAATACAAAACTTTCAGAAATAAGACTTTTTTGGAATTTAAATCCAGTATACTTCCACCTACTGTTTACATTCTGTGAACTGTAAACATGAAACACAGTATTTAGTGAAAAACATAAGCTTAGCCCTTATTAGTAAGAGAAAGGACAAGTAAAAATCCCACTGTATAGTCTATACAGACTCTGTTTTCACTACAAGTCAGTGTTGGTTTCTTTAAAATTTTTACCTTGGTTTTAAACTTCTTTTTTTTTAAGACTAGAAGAAGTCTTGAAAAGTTTTCACCGATTGAATCTCATATCTAATAAGCCTAATTTTTTAACGTTTTGTCATCTACTTTGTACATAAACAATACCATTAAAATTGTTTTTACAAAGCTGGCTACTAGCTTATCTTTACAGACTTATGTCATTACAGTAATAGAACAGTGAACTGAAGATGTCATGTTTAACCTTATATTTACTTTTGAATAATACACTTTCATCATTGCAGGCAGTACTGCTTGTTTATTGGTGGAATTCATTATGAGTACCAAGTACTAATGTCAGTATACCTTCCTTAAAACATAATAGAAATGTGCTTATAACTTATAGAAATGTGGGTGTGGGAGGTATTTTTTTTTTATAATATGGGAATAAAGTTCATCCTAAGTTACACTGGTATTTCAAGATGTTTGTACTGAATACAGTATCTTTGCTGTTCAGATTCATCTACATTTACAAAAATAATTTATTTATATCTAAAACAATACCTTGTTTTTGTACTTTCTTGGTGGGACTTTACCTCCTGTATTTCTTGGTACAACTTAACTTTATTTTTGTCATATGTTGTTTGATATTATGGAGCTTTGCCTTGTTTACAACCTGTATTGGGTGTGAGAACATTCATGATGAATCGTGTTTGATTGGTGGGATAAGTTTATGATGTATCGTGTTTGAGTGTGAAAACGTTCCTGATTATTTGTGGTTTAGTTGCATTATTCATAATTTAACATTTTTAATAATTTGTATTTTTCGACCTATAGAAATAGATTGAGTTAAATGAGCAGTACTCAGTGAAGACGAACTACTTCTGTAGTGTTTCAATTAATAATATAAAACAAACGTTTACTTGAAATACTCGCTTATACTGGCACACTCCTCCACAACCAGCTTGTTTAATGACGTAGTAGGAAACAGCGGCTACGTAACCTTCAAAGTTTCGTCACTACCATCAGTTTTTTACCATATCATACAAAGAATACTGGTACTTAAAAAAACACACTAAATTCCACATATTGCTGAGTGATAATGAGTCAAACCTTGTACGAATTCGAATTATATCTGTCAATTGTCAGCAACGCAAATTGAACTATAGGCCTAACAGCCCCTAGCCTAACCGATTCCAGTAGCGAGTAGAGCTAGTTAACCCTATTTTAACCTATGCTTTATAATGAACGTAAACGCCTCAAGAGTTTTTTCTCTAAATTAAATGCCCTATAGAAAGTGCTTAAATGAAGTATTTCAAGCTTGTCAGCGCTTTATTGTAGCTAACTTGACTGAATGTAAAAATTTGTGAATAGTGTACAACATCAGGCCTTACACTGGTGATGTCGTTCCGTCTTAATCGTAAGGGCCAAATCTATAAAATTAATTGATTGTACATGTTTGTTGAACTTGTGTGCAGTAAAAATAAAGTTTGTCTCACTTATTGTTGATTTCTGATGTTATCTCTATATTTTAACTATTTAAGTGGTCAAACTTACGATACTTAGATGGCCTGTGGTCGATAAAAGTTTGTTTGGAATATATTGGCATTCGCCATTTGTCTCTCTCTCTTTGACTGTTTGATTTAAGTGATAAAAAGAAGCCGCTCCACGACACTGAATTAAAACATGACAACACATACAGAAGGTTGAGTACGTTATATTTAAATTATTTTGGAGCCTCACCTTTCGCTTACAGTCTACGGACGCCACGTCCGGCTATTCTCCATTTACATTCCTTTGTTTCCAGTGTCATTAAGTGCAAAGGTCTTGAAAATTTTAAGCCCACGATCTGAACACATTTCTATGAACTGAGTGTATGAATATTTTGCATGTGAAAGGGCTGTTACATGCCCCCTCCCAAAAGTGATAATTATTTGGTGGCATGACTACCTACGAAACACCAAAAGATGTTAAGATATAGTTCTGATATATTCCGTTACACCACTGCTTTATATCGGCTGTGGTTTTCACGTGACTTGCTGATTTGCATAATCAAAAACATTTTAAAATAACGTATTTTAGGATTAACACAGGATGGACTATAGAATTCTGGTGTTATAGCAGTTTGAGTTAATGGTTCATTAATCACGACTGTTCACATTCGTCAATAGAGAACCGTTATTGAAAGTTAATTAAAATCATCATTATTATAACTCGTATATGTGTAGAAAAAAACATACACAATGGTTGGTGCAAATTCTATCTCACGAATGAACCAAAGAAGTTACGAAGAAATTCATGATTTCAATAAATTGGTAACTAAATATTTTTAATAGCGCAAAATATTACGAATTTGCTATATAAAACTGATAGTGTTAATAGATGAGTTTAACGTTAACTGAAACTAGCTTTTAAATATTTGAAAACTAAATCTCTTGTGTGAATTTCAAGAAAAATATTTCCTTCATGCAAGCTTTTTTGTTGGTTGACAAATATTTGTTATCCTATATACAATTAGAAAGTTTATGGTTTTTGAAACTCGGTAGTACATGCAGGATCTTTCATAAGCACTGGAATATATTTCAGTTTATAGAAATTTGAATTTAAATACTTATCATACCTCTGTTCGAAAACTTCTTGATAGTTTTCTGATTTGATTTTATTCGTGTGATAATAAAGACGCTTTCATTTCGTTTTCCTTTATTACTAAATATTTTACTTGATAGATAATTTCCATTAGAACGGCTTCACAATTTCAGTATTGTTACTTGACCTATTATTATCTAATTAATCGACAGATGGCTAAGATCAGTGTTTGGATTACCGTTGAAAACTTTGCAAAGAAACTCGAAAAAATCGTACACTGGATATATGTAAATAAAGATATTAACAGAGCAATATGTGATATCCTCTAACATCGAATGTTTTATGCTCAAAACTGTAGTACCAAATTGTTTAAGCTTATTTTTATGTGGTGTGATTATGAAAGTTTAATGTCTACAGGTGCCGTAAATATCGATTTGTTTAGAATGAGTAACAAGAAAAATTTAACATGCCATACTTATTAAGTGAGGTTTTGGAAATATGATTACGATAAACTATTCTATCCTATGAATGTTTTATCGTAATTGGTTGAAAGCGCATCACGTGGTACGAAACATGTTTCAATGTTGCCTTGAAAGCTGGGCAACAAATTGTTTCAATGTTACCCGGTTGGCAAGGCCATTGCCATGTTTGCTTAACATCGTAGCAAAACTTTGCAGACGACAGTTTTTTGTAGCACAGTGAAAACACGTTGATGCACTTAAACCTAAGTACAAACAATTTGCTCAAATCCATAAAATGAATGTGGATGTATGGCGTTAGGATTTCAGTTACTCACAGTCAGCACTCAAAACATTAAAAAAATAATAAAAAATGTGGAACATGTTTTCCTTTTTCATCTTAGTTTAGCAAAACTTTAATTAGTTATTTTTTCTGTTGCTCAATTATTTTATTTTTTCGTGCTAAATTTAGAGAACTTTTATACAAGAAAGTTATTCAGCATTGCAAGCAGGCGACCCCAGAGGTATATCAAATTTGAATTTTACGAAGTTGCAGTTTATAACATTTGAACTAATGAAATATTGTTTATTACAAGTAGAACTGATGTTACTTCTAGATACGTCAGTTATTATACAGTCTTACGTTGTTGTAACGTAATACGGATAACATTTGCCATTAATAATGGAATCGAGGACAAACTAGCTCAGACTGAAGCTTTTACTAGGGTTAATGAATAATCCATCGATTGTCATGTTTGACTTAAAGCTTTGATAAGGCGAGTAGAGGGTACTAATGTTACACCATTGTTAACCCTACTGTTAGGATGAACAGTTTATTCAAAACCACGAGCCTCAGGAATAATGTCATTGATTTTCTTGTAAAAAAATATCAATTGCTGAAAACATAGTTTCCGTTTATTTATCACTATCATAAATATTACTGGGTCTGATAGTAAAAACATTCCAATAGATATTAGCAACTAATTCCATGATTAACTATTTTCACACATTTGCCAAAATTCTATCTTAAGCCGTCTATTTTTCATGATCTAATGTTCTAAAGCACCAGAAATAAATAAATTAAAACACATAAGCAGTAGTTTTTATTCAAACAATAATAAAGTTATCCTCCGTTAAAACAATTGTCGTTCAAACCCAGAACAAAACACCGCTCCATCCACATAGATGTGTTAAACAAGTAACCAGACTAGTGATCACAACGGATTGATGGGATACATACACAGTCATTCATACTTTAAACAGCAGATTACACTTTAAATTCTGATCTTTTTCTTCACATTTTATGGGTTTGGTATAACATGATACAGTAATCTTGTTATGGTGGTGAATGGCAACAATGTCGAAATAGTAGTCATGTAAGTATTAGGCTTAAGTGCAGATGGAGAAGCACAGACACAAACATTTTCATAACGTAGGATAATAAGATACTAGCCAACCAATCAGAAATCGTATTTACAGTTAGAAACTGGGAGAGCCATGTTAGTTTCAGGAGAGAGAAGTCGAAACAAAAGTCATCGAGCCAAGCGTGTGTATTTACTATTTAAACAGTACCCATGAAGTTAAAGGTGAAAATAAAAAAAATCAACCACAACAGGAAATTGGGTCCAAATATTGGCGCATCGGAACACACTATTAAAATTAAAATACCAAAAGAATCAGGAACACAAAATAAACCATAAAATAACATGTTCAGGTAGGTTTATTAGTTAAATTATTGTTGAAGTTGTAAATAATGGAAACAAATAATCAACCGCAACAATTATAGATGGCATTCCGATACGGAATTCTTGCCAAACAAGAGTGTTGCAGAAACTTAAGTCTTCCGACTGGCCGTGCATTAAATAATCCAAAGAGAGAGAGAGAGAGAGAAAAATATGTATTTCTTAAGCGTTACTGTACGGATTTCAGCATTGCTCGTTGGGAAGGGGGTAACTGCGGTAATTAAATCACTCGTATTTTTCCAATATTGATTCCTTTAGGCTGACATTCATATTTTAAATAAACTGGTGTTGATATATATTAACAAAGTGAATTAATACATATCATATATAAAAGCAATTTTAATTATTGTTTTAGTACTACTGCCTTGTTTGGCACGTAAACTCATTTACTTTAATAAAATGAATATTAAATACATTTTCTTTACTCTTTAGATATAAGACTGTATAGTAAACGATATCCGAGTTTTATCATACATATATTAACTTTGGTATAATCAGTTTCAGGATTCTTTTGGAAAGTAGAGAAAAATTTACAAGTTCTACCATGACATTATTTAACAGCTTCCTTTGAGATCCTTCGTCATAGAGGTAAAGTAGTAAAAGGTTAAAACTGAAGTTGACATTTTCATAAGCTTTAAACATGGCTCATACAGGCGCAACGTACTTTTAACTTAAATTAGTGAATTTTTTCAGCTGCGTCTAGAAGAAGTTGGCTCACTAATTACTCTCACATCGTTCTGACATTACAGCTAACAACTGGTTGAACTTGGAACACCTTTCGCTAGCATCAACAGTTGCCCCTTTGGTGCCCCACAAGAAGCGCAGATGAAACTCTGTTCTGAACAAATCTAATAATTGCTTATGACACTTCAGGCTTTCCAGCACTATTTCACTATTCCTCCTGTAGGTGGAGCTTTGCTGAATAAAGATCCTACCCATCTCCAGATGAGTCAACATTATCTGTAGCCCGTAGTCTGTTGCCTTTTGTTCCCATGGTAACCCGAGTGTAAGTGGTCTCTCCGTCTCCTTGCTGTTTGTGGCTAGTTTCTCTCCTATTGGCTCCACTTCATGCTGCAAGTCGTTATGACGTTGGAGGATGGTGACTAAGGACACGAGGTACGGGATACAGGTGTTAGGTGCAAGAGGGTTTGAACATTCTTCCATGGTCTTCATTGTTGGACGAAGTTTGCTTTCATAAGTTAAAGCAACTTCTGTAAAGTTAGTCCGGAGAGAAAACCAGGTGGAACGTAGGCGGGCAACCTTGTAACAACAACAAAATCTTTAAACGATCTTTCTTCTAATCATTTAGATATAAATATTTCAAATGGAGAAATATCAGCACGTGCTATTAGAGTATTATTGTAAAGGCATGATACTCACTTAAAAGGATTGTTGGTAAATGAAATTATTAAAGACAGGATTTGGGTATGTTTCAATGTTTTCAGGGATCTATTTATGACTCAACCAGCTTCAGGCAACAGGGTGATAAGACCAGGTATGATACTTGTTGGAAAGAAGTACTGATAAAATAATACTAGTAAAGATTGGATCCGGGAAACCAGTGAGGTTAATTGCAATGATTGGCGTGACTCTTATATTACTAGATACTTTATAACCAACAAAGTCATGGACCCATAAACAATGTTGTGCATAAACTGTTGGGGGTCTGAGACCCTTTTAGTAATTCTAGGGTTAAGCACAGAAGTGTTTCACTTACAAAGTCAGAGTTTACTTTTATAGATAAAAGTCTCCATGTTGGGCTTACATTGGGTAAAATAAACTATTTCAATATCATCCAAAGCACGCACGGCTTCTAACTGGTGAGTTAAAATGTATTCCTTAATTTCTATTGCTACCTAAAATCCACCGAAACGTGTGATTCTTAATTTGAAAAATATAACTTGAATATTTTTCACCATCCCTGAACTACAACATAAATTGTGATGTAATAACTCTGATGCCTGAAACCAGCACTAGCTGTCAGACTATGAATTCCACATGAGGAAGTGACAGTTCCTAACAGTTGTAGCAAAACACAAACAATCCCAAATCCTACACGAGAAAGTGACAGACAGAGCAACTACCCGACTCTCCTACCTGAGGAAGTGACACACAAAACAAACATCCTCACAATTGTACCTGAGGAAGTGACACACAAAACAAACATCCTCACAATTGTACCTGAGGAAGTGGTTGTTCCTAAGAGCTGTAGCAATACCCATACATCCATACAGTCTTACCTTAAAAAGTAACACTTCCTAACAAGTGTAGCAATACCCATACATCCATACAGTCTTACCTAAAAAAGTGACACTTCCTAACAGGTGTAGCAATACCCATACATCCATACAGTCTTACCTAAAAAAGTGACACTTCCTAACAGGTGTAGCAATACCCATACATCCATACAGTCTTACCTAAAAAAGTGACACTTCCTAACAGGTGTAGCAATACCCATACATCCATACAGTCTTACCATAGGAAGTGGTTGTTCTTAAGATCTGTAGCAATACCCATACATCCATACAGTCTTACCTAAAAAGTAACACTTCCTAACAATTGTAGCAATACCCGTACAGTCTTACCTAAAAAAAAGTGACACTTCCTAACAAGTGTAGCAATACACAAACATCCATACAATGTCACCTAAAAAATGACACTTCCTAACAAGTGTAGCAATACCCATACATCCATACAGTCTTAACTCAAAAAGTGACACTTCCTAACAGGTGTAGCAATTCATAAATATTCTCACAATCCTACCTGAGGAAGTGACAGATAAAACAAATATCCCCTCTATGCTACATGAGGAAGTGACAGACAAAACAAACATCCCCACTACCCTACCTGAGGAAATGACAGATAAAACAAATATCCAAACTATTCTACCTGAGGAAGTGACAGACAAAACAAATATCCCCTATCCTACCTGAGGAAGTGACAGATAAACATCCACATATTCCTACCTGAGGAAGTGACAATCCCTGCATTATCCCAGCAAACCCAAACAAGTTGCCTAGTGCAGTCTTGGTGTCAAGAGCAACTTGAATCCACTTGTTGAGAATCACAGCTCTTTCTGCCTCCCCTCCACAAGTAAGGATTGTTACAGCAACAAAATACTTAAGGCAATTTAACCTGAAGTTCAAAAATCAGAAATAAATAAAACTGTTCTGTATAAAAAGAAAAGTTTTCATTAATTATTGGATTCATTAAAAATAGCATAAACTGTCATAAGGTACCATATAAGTTAAAACAACCTACCAAGCCCCTGAAAATTATGAATTGATATATACAAACATGATTCAGCTCCTACATGTTAATTAAGGTATGAAGGGTTTGAATCCATTTTGTAACTCTAATAAAAAATTATGCTTACCTATCCAACAAATCTAGCTGCAATTGAGCTCCTTGGGGGAGAGTTAGAAATTCTAGGCCAGAGGTGACACTGAACCCCAGATCACAGTTGGAACTCAGCTTTACCACCTCCAGATCAGTCTTGGTCAAGTGATGGGCTAAGATTCGAGCTCCGGTCTCCTTTAGCAGGTTTCGCACTTTAAGCAAGGTTGAACTCTCAAGAGGTCTGTTGTCTGGTGGTAGCAGGAACGTGTTGAAATCTGATAGGTTAAAATGTGATGGCGGGCATGTGTTTGGTATCGTTAAGTTACTGCTTGTAAACCCAGCATCATCAATAAAGAAATACTCAGATGTCAGGTGATGTGTTCTTCTGGGTAGAGATGTATGTTTCACTCTGTCATCAAAACAGAAAGCTTTTAATACGTCATTAGATTCAGAGTTCAGTGCAATTGCTTGAGAATCAGAATACTGAAGACCTGTTTCTCCTTTCTTCGGGTGTTCTTTTACAGAAGTGGACATTTCTGATGCACTATGCTGAACGTTTCTTTCTTGTTTGTTCACAACAGGTTTGTAGGTGTATTTGATTGAAGGTACACGACTTGGTTTAGGTGGTGGTTGTTCTCTGTTCATGGCAGATGCTTTGGAGCTTGTTTTAACTTCCCAACTTTTCTGTTCCATCAAAGGACCTGAAGTAGAATCACTCAGTTCTTGGGCTACAGTTTGGTAATGGTGCGGACGTAGGGTTGCAAATGCTGCAATATTGCTCTGTTGTGTATCTAACATCTGGGTAGTTTTGAGAGAGTGTTTTCCTATACAATTACCATCATAGTTTCCTGGTTTGAAAGGTAATTCTGATGGAGATGGTGTCTTTACATTATATGCATTCTGTTCTGGAGTCCTGACAGCTTGACTCTGCAAAACATATGGAGATGTACAGTAAGAAAGGGGATTGCTGCGATTCACAGGCCGAGAAATCACAGCTCCAGAAGCTTCAGAAATAGCTTTTTTACTCCCAACATAATATGTGACCAAGTCTGGCACAGTGTCAAAACACTCATCTTCAAACTGGTACTGCACTCTCTCATATACCGAGCAATGCTGAAGTGCCTGAGGATGTCAGAAATACACAAAGATGTTGAATGTAATATTTTTAGTAATCTCGAATGTTTCCACAACACATGATTATACTTGACATATTTTTATGTCATTTCTAATTACTCTGAATGAAATATGTGTATTCATACATAGTCACATGTGCATATGTAACATATTAATTACTCTTTAGTGAAAGAAATATGTAATCTTACTACTTTAGGAATGATAAACTAAGAAAGGTTCTTGTTTTCACAGCACCCTTAAATTACCTTGTTTGTAACAAAAGTGGGGTATCATTCTTCTGTAGACAGTAACCTTAACTTACCTTGTTTACAACAAAAGTGGGATATCATTCTTCTGTAGACAGTAACCTAACCTACCTTGTTTATAACAAAAGTGGGCTATCATTCTTCTGTAGACAGTAACCTTAACTTACCTTGTTTACAACAAAAGTAGGGTATCATTCTTCTGTAGACAGTAACCTAACTTACCTTATTTATAACAAAGTGGAGGGGCATTCCTCTGCATAAACATGTCAGAACAAAATCCCCAGGTCGAGAGATGCAGTCCCGAATTAGGAAATGGCCATCTTCCCTCAAGAGTTGTTCAGCTCTTTGTCGAGGGATAGTTCCATGATACCAGGCATGACTTCGTAGATCGTTGTCTTCCAAACTCAGTTCCCATTCTAGTGTCTTCTTTAGGTCTTCCTCAGCTAGCTGAATGTCCACCTGTTTACAAGGAATGTCACTAATCAAAGTTGGGTTTCGTTTATATAAAATATAATCTTATCGAAATGTAACTTGATTTAAAAAAAAAGGTGTTTATAGGAAGAAGCACTGGTTGAAATAAATGATACTTACAATCAAACAGTTACAATAAAGTTGTTCTTGTTCAATAATACTTGAGATTTTTAATTGTTCATATTCCAAAATGGTTTAGGTTATTTGTTTGTAACAATTTCATTATGGTGGAACATGTACCAGAAAGATTTTAAGTTGAATTCTGTGATGAGTCTTAATCTACGAACTGTTCCTTAAGTCGTAAGTACGAAACAGAGAATGGAAATACTTGAAAGTTTTATTATGTAATGCATTCCAGAATGAAAAAAAAATTCCCAGCCATTTTGTTAGTAATGTGTGTATGACTACTAAAAAATACTCTTAAATCATGTTGTAAAATATTTGGTGAAATACACTTATACCAAAATCAGAGTAGCAACTCCAAACGTTTGGTATTTAAATGAAGATTTTATAAAAGATAACTTATTTTCTAAAATACATTCAATTAAAAAAGATATGCAAGGTATAAAAAATATGTTATACATATATATATATATATGTAGAGAAAATATCTTGTATATCTAAATTTCAAGAGTTTCTAAATCACCCTAAGGTTATAAAGATGTATGACATCCTAAAACATTCTAACTTTTTACACAAGTTAATTAATTTTGTAATATCTTTAGAAATTAAATATGGAAAAAGTAAAAGTACAGTACACTTGCATTTTTACCTCAAATTTCCAAAGAACATACCATCAGTGCCATACATGTAAGGGAAAGGTCTCAGGAAGTTCAAATTTTACATTTAGCTCGCTAAACTGACATGTTTTTCTTGTTCTGTGTTATATATTAGACATTAAAATCAAAGGAACTAGAATAACACTTGTATTTATAACACATTCTCAAGAGACATGTTTCTTTCTGTTGAACTAGCTGCTACTAATGAAAGTAGTTTCATAAACTTCACTCGTTGAGCCTGAACAGCATCTTTCCCTCAAGGCTTGTCACCTATCATGCTCTAGTTCCCCTGTAAAAACAACAAAATGACTTGTCCGGGAGTACGATGTGGTTCGTTTATTAACTACATTAGGACTCATAAACTGAGATTAATCATTAAGCCTGTATATTTAAGGCAAAGAAGCGAATTTTTAATAGGGGAACACGCTAAATGTTATCTATGTGATGGGGAGTTTTAGTGTATTCCAAGTCGTATAAAATCTTTGATCAATAAAAATGGGAAATAGAATGTTTTTAATCTTTTCCTTCTTGATAAAATGTCAACAAAAGTTCAGCAGGTTAGGGTTAGCAGGCTGACGTTAAAAAAATCTATAAATATCAGTTTCATTTGAACAAAAAACGAAGGTTCCGGCAGTTTAGCTCACTCAATAAAAGTCTAAAAATCCCAGTTTGACTTTATAAAAATACAACAAAAAAGGTTGCATGTTAGCTCGTACAAGTTTACGTTCAAGAAACAGAATTTGAAGAGTTTGTTTCTCAGATGTACATTTGTATTCAGTGTGCTGCTAGGAGGCGCAAAACGTGTTGTTTACGAGTAAAAACGAAACTTGCTCCAATAGAAGTAGGTGTTAAATACAGTAAGTCAGAAAGGATATACAACTTAAAGCCTTACCATTATTGGTCCGATCTCTCAGAAGAACGTTACTCTGCTCGGAACCTGTAAACTAAACAAACATCTTGTTATATTACACCGGTAAAGTATTTCATTATATTTCAAGTGTTTCTTTGAACAACTAGAAAGAAATCTACACCGTTCTTAGAGGTCATGTTTCAAGAATTTTATGCAACAAAATATATATGTTAAGTATGTAGGTTGTTGATGGAAAGAAGAAAAAAGATCGGTAAACAACATACATCATTCAGTGTAAAAGTTTCTTGGTGTAACCTCAACCTAACTGATGCTACGTAATGAATTTATTTATTTCAAAAGAAAATGAGAGAATCGGGCAAGTAAATCATGGACAGAAATCTGCCTGAATTGTTTCTGTTAAGTGCCCGGCATGGCCAGGTGGATAAGGCGCTCGACTCACAATCTGAGGG